GTATGGATTTGATATGTACTGGCATAAAGAAGCCAACCTACGAGTAAGCGAGCGGTACATGACGAGTATTATACTACCTCGCCAACCTTAAAGAAATGAGGCTCTTTGTTGAATATGAGACACCTTGTGCTGCACAACTTTCGCAAAGCACGCAGCTACTGTGTCTTCTGTGATTCTCATCACGATAACACGATTCATGTTCGATACAAAGCATGTGCGTAGCCTTATCGTGGAACGACGTCGTCACTGTCGTGTTTCCCTAAGTGGATACTTTGGTGGAACTTTCTGGATAATTGCCCTGTTCGCTCAATAGAGTTCTAGTAGTCAGTATCAGATGATTGCCTGCGTGACTAAGAGAGCAATTTAAAGTAAAAAAGATGAAGAGCATAATTCTTTGAACTTGGAAAACGTCTGCACAGATGAAAACAAATACCCAAAGTTGTAGTGAACGTTGCAATGTAATAATGGCTGACTGTTGGGATAGGATCTCAGAATTATTGAACAGTGCATGTGAGACGTTCACATAGGGGTCCTGATAGGCCACCGATTTCCTTCGTACACTATTCAGCTTCTTTCTCTGCTTCGTTTATGCATTTTCAATATTTGGATAAGTTACTGTATACTACATCCAGATGATAATACGTTCGACTTTCACTTAGTGGATTAATTAGAATTTCATCCTTTACTCTTTCCATTATTTTTCGGACATCTAAAAATTTTAGACTGTTCATTTAGTCTATGCCTATCTCACTGCTCCTCATTTGACGGATGATAAGGCCATAATGCATTTGAACCCTGAAAGGGGTGGTGGGAGATATTTTTGGAGCAGAATACGATATTCTACAAATTGACCAACGGGTTAAGAAAACTGTTCCACAACTGACCTTTCATTCATTCGTTCGTTGTGACTTTTTCCCAGAACGTACTGGTGATTTCAGAGAAATCAACACAACGAGATCCGTTCCTTCCGACGAAGCGCTCAAAAATGGCGAAGGAACACGGCCTTCTTTCCAACCTGAAATCGTGAATATTCGTTTGTTTGACGATTTGCATAAGCATTCAGATGCAACACGAAGCGAACAAGTTTTCCAAGAAGGGGCATTGTTTTTGTTTTTTCTTCAAAAATATGGACGTTCAGTTTCTACTCAATGAATGTCAGGGAATAGAAAACAGATTGAAGCAGAATAACGCTTCATCTTATTGGAATACCTCGACTGGATAGACTACTCAACTCATTTGATGCATTGAAATTTCCAGATATCCACCTGCCGTGTTTCTGATGCTCGGCAATGAGTTCTGCGAGCGATTCTCGTTCTATGGCATGAAAGCCATACTAACCATTTACTTCATCTACGAACATGGCTATAGTGACAGGTAAAAGTTTCTTATTCGCCTTTGGATCTATTGAGAGCAAACTGAGAAGGTGAATCGCAGAAAGGCTTCAATTTTTCTATATTTCTTCGCGAAATCCATTACGAAACCTTTTTAGGCATTTTAGAAACAGAGACGTATGTTGTGAGAGTTACACCTATGCTTTAATGCCTGATTGCATGAAACTAGAGCGAAATCGTTTAGGCAGGCTGGTGTCAGCCTGGAAAATGTTTTGGCACCATTCGCAGTTTGACCTGATAACTTAGAGTTAAGTTGTCCGAGCGATTTCCCACAATTTCAGTTTTGCCACGTTCGTATATCATGCTTTTACTTGTATAGCATATCTAACGCCACTCGCCGGATCGATTCTCGCCGATTCTTACTTGGGAAGGTTCAAGGTGAGAGCTCTTTATCGAAATGTCTACCAAAAATTCCAAAAGTCCATCGCGTAATGAGATTGACTTCGATAAACAATGACTTCGGTACACAGCCTCCGATCCCAATAGTCTCTGTAGGCCATGCATTGATGTCATCAAACATTGTGGAGGTAATTGAATGAATAAACCTCTACAATGACTACTTGTAGCCTGCCGATGCGTGAAATCGATATTAAGTCAGTGTTTCTTTGATCCTCTCAGACAAGTCTGCTATCATTTTGTCGACACCGAAGATATAGAGGGCCTTGGAGCCCAGGATGCAAAGTGGAGCCAGTGAGCAATCCAGTGTGTATCACAGTATACTTCTAGCCATTACGCTACACCGTAGTTGTCTTCTTCTGCCAATAACTGCGTGGCTAAATACTTTAAAGTTTGAGCTCGTTCAGAATTCTGTGTTGAGGTACGGCAGAGACTGTAATTAGATCTCATTTTTAATCCACAAATAGCAACAACTTAAATCTAGTGAAGCGTCGCATCCGTACTCATTCTGTATAAAGATGACTACGTTACGATGAAAACTTTGAAAGATTTCTGAACTAACCTACTGCAAAGACCAAAGAAGAATCGGAAAAAAGACATATGAGCTCAATCTCAACTTCCTAAATGTCGAAATCATCGGTCGGACATGTTTAGATTTCCACACTCACCCAGCGTTCAAATAATATGATCTATGTTTTTTGTTGGTTTAAGACGATTTTTTGTCTTAATGATAATGCATTTTTTACAAGTCGGAAATGTTTTGCTAGCACATGTCTTAATAATTTAAAAGACCGACTTTCTATAAACCTCGGCATAAATGGTTGATATATTTGATATAATTATTTATATGATCTTATAACTTGATCTTGTTGAGCTGATCGAGGTTGGTATAAGTTGGTGTTACCGTTGTTGTTCTTGTTGTCGTTCTCATTGTTGTTATTGCTGCCGTTGTCGTTGTCGTTGATGTTGTTGCTGTTTTAATGATGCTGAGGTATTAGCAAAACTCCGGACGGCAGGTGTCTGCGGTAGGGAACGAACGCGCCATTGTCCTTTCCGGGGAGTAACGCGCTCACCACCACACCAGTGGGTCTTTCGTTCCGCGTGTCTATCAGCTAGTTCTATCGATCTCTGCTATCAGCAATCACCCGTCAGCGGGATTGATCTGGGGAGCAGAAATCGGCAATGGATCCAGTTAAGCTGATGCTTTAGTTATAATCACAATCTTAACCGTTTTTATTTACTGCCTACTCTTTTTAATGGTAGGGTATATTGCGAAATATAACTTTAATGATGCTGAAATATTGGTGGTGAGCGCGTTATTCCCCGGAGAGGACAATAGCACGTTCGTTTCCCACTGCAGACTCCTGCCGTCCGGAGTTTTGCAAATATCTCAGCATCATTGAAATTTATATTTCGCAATATAGCCTGCCATTAACAAGAGTAGGCAGTAAATAAAAGCGGTTAAGATTGTTGCTGTTGTTGTTGTTATGTTGCTGTTGTTGTTGCTGTTGTTGTTGTTGTTATGTTGTTGTTGTTGTTGTTGTTGTTGGTCTTTGGCTGACGTTTGTCGATTTTCCTTCCCTTAGAGCCGTACTGTTACGAGTGCGACATATTAACTATTTATGCCGAAGTTTGTAGAAAGTCGGTCCTTTAAATTATTAAGAGATGTCCAGCAAAGGGTCCCATTCGTAGCAGCACGGTTCTGACAAAGACGAAATCGCCGATCCGTCAGCCATTCACCACCGCCACTAACAACAACAACAAAACAGCAGCAACAATAACAACAACAACAACAACAGTGACAGCAATGACAATAATGACAGCAATGACAACAACAATGACAACAAAAACTTCTGCTAACCTCACATCAGCTCAACAAGATCAGCTTATAAGACCATGTAAATAAATATATCAACTGTTTATACCGAGGTTTATAGAAAGTTGATTTTTGAATTATTTATGTTTATTAGTTTGGAAGGGACTGCCCATTGAGTCGTCCAACGCAGTGAATATATCAGTCAGTGCAGTGGAATATCGAATAAGCTGATACGGTGGGAAATGAATTAGTTAGTTCATTATAGAATGCCTGACTTCTAAGATTCCCACACGGGAATTTTGTCATTGCCGAAAACCGAGCTTCATACTTGGGTAATTAAACTTTCATATATAAACGTTGCCACAATGGCAGTTAAATATAATAAAAGCGTACAGCGTGTACATGAGCACCTGAGAATGGTTTTAAAGTATTGGTTGCATAGTACGGAAGCGTGAAGTTAGGAGTGGAACGCGTGTAGCGCAGTGGTCGGAAGGGCTGTGAAATACACATAGGATCGATCTCCGCGCCCATGGCTCACAATGGTTTCTATCTCTCAAATTGGTGCCAGACTTGCCTGGGAGAATAGTATAGTAGATAGCAGCAGTGACTCGATACAGGCCACCACGAGTCATTGCAGAGGCCTGATATACATTCCATCACCTGCAATGATGCTGGAGTGACCATTTCTAGCGAGTGTTTTTTTTTGACTGTGAATATATTGACGTACAAAGCCATCAAAAGGCGAATACAATACATTACAATTATTATCGGCACCACACTAATGATGGTGTTTGTTTCAGCATGTAAATAAATTATTAAGTTTTTTCCTCTGAAATCTTGACTAGGATCTAAAGGCGCAAGCCACAATGAGAAAAAGCCAGAAATAGGAAACTGGGTGAGAAACTCCCGCAAAAGATCACTCTTGATTTAAAATCGTTTTGTGCCATCCATATCCATCGCATTCAGGTCATCCTTTACGGTTCGTCTATTTACGTCCTCGGCCATGTGCTGCTTTCATTCGGAGCCGTGCCGACTCTCGACATAGGTGAGTGGCGACTGGATCTCCACCTTCTTATGGAAAAGTAAAGTGTCACACTGCAGCTATAAGGACATTGTTTGACTTTGGCGGATTATTTGTGATTGCTGTGGGTACAGGGTCTATCAAGCCGTGTGTATCAGCTTTTGCTGCCGATCAAGTGAGTTGGCTACGTGTGTTTTTCATTCGGGAGTTGGTAGGCGGTTTTTTATTTCATTTTTTCAGTTTTTTGGAAACCAGATTGACCTGCGTGCGCAGTTCTTCTCCTTTTTCTACTTCGCTATCAATGCTGGATCACTATTCGCCATACTCCTAACACCAATCCTTCGCGGTCGAGTTAGCTGTTTTGGATCGCAGTACTGCTTCCCACTTGCTTTCGGTATTTCCTTCTAGTTAGATCTGCTATTTTCGAGCTGGTGGATATGAAACGTGATGAAAATCTAGAATTTTTCATCGTCGAAGGCACAGAATTAAACAGGATGCGATTGTGACTCTATTAAAGGTGTTCCTGGAGTGCTGATGGTAATCGCACTGTTGTTCTTTCTTTCTGGATGGAAAATGTACAAGAAACACCCACCGAGCCACGAGAACATCGCCAGCGAGGTGGTCGGTTGCATCGGCTTGGCCTCAGCAAGAACGCTATTTCGGTGAGCCATTCAGAGACCACGTCACAAAGACCTTTCAAAAGTATCTACATGACTCAATTGTTAATAAAAGTGCCGCTATCGCAGAATGCATAATCACTTTGTTAAGATTTTTGGGAATTTGTCAAATGTCGTTTCATTCATTACAAATGGGCTGTGGAAGAATACAGAGCTAACTTGTCCAGAAACAGCGTTGCCAGGTTTTATCCTTAACACGGTGTGACGTCTATGGTTTATAATGATGTTAGGAAAGGAAGAAATGAAGGAAGGAAAGTAAGTTAAACCGCACCCGAAGAATAAAGTGGTGAACGCCTCTGTTTACAGCTCGATTGCTTGTATAATAAGGCATAAACATGAAATCTACAAAAGAAGTGACGACTTGTAGAGAGAAACTAGCCATTGAGAAAAAAATTTAAAAAAACGCAACTCTTGGATCTCAAATTGCCTTCACCTTGTCAGGCGTTCGGCTAAACCTGTATCACATTGGCTAGACAGGGCAGCACCGGAACACTCGCCGGAAATGATTGAAGCCGTTCGCTCCCTCGTTAATGTCGCGGCCATTTTCGGGCCACTCGTCTTCTTCTGGGCCCTCTTCGACCAACAGGTAAGCTACAGGATAACCACTTTTTTCATTCCACCGTGTCATTCGCATCACCACACATTTAGGGTTCTACATGGATATTACAAGCACGTAGACTCGATGGACGGATCGGATGGATCAACGCACTTCCTGAGCAGATCAATATACTCAACCCTCTGATTGTGATTATTATGGTACCAGTGTTTGAAGGCATAGTCTATCCTTTCGTCAGGAAGGTAAGCTATGGTTATTTCTCGCTGGATTTTCTCGTAACGAAGTGAAAGGCCGGGATTCATAAGTTACCAGAGTAATATCGGTAACTCTTACATAGTTCATGAAGGTCCGTACAGAAGTCATGCATTGTCCTAAAGGAATAAATGCCTATCTGTGCAAAGATAGTACGCTCGCTTTAGTTTCGATTAAATCTTCTTCGTTATCGATGATGGTATTGTTGTTGTTGTGTTGTTTGCTTCAGAAAGCACTTGAGCGTTGCCAGTCTAAAATTTTGAAGAAAGTAGCATACAAGCATTAAATATTTGTACGCTGTCTTCTTAATTTCATAGTCGCCGACGTTGTAGAAAACACTTCTTGTCCTAAAAACACTTTCCACTTTCTCATAAAAGGATGAAGGATAAAGCTCTCGGCGTTGATCAATCCCTGAGGGATTCGCCATGCATTCGACTTTATTAATCATCGTTGGAGGTGAGTGAATACATATCTGGCCTTTACAATAACTTGTCGATGTATCGAACCAATGCTTCTGTCTTTCCAAACAAGTCTGGTACCAATTTGCGACCCCAGAGGGATGGAATGATGAACGCTTGGTGTGTCTGGCGCGCCGGGATCGGTCTCATGTGTATTGCAGGGCGCCTCCGACCTCTGCGCCACAAGCGTCCTACTTCCTCATAATATTAGTGTCAATTCGGGTATACATTTGCACCCGTTTAACAATAGTTACTTTTAAATACAATGGTTCTGAGATGTTTGCAAAACTCTGGATCCCAGGTGTCTGCAGTGAGGATCGAACTCGCTATTACCCTTTCTGAGGTCTAACGTGTTCACCACCACACCACTTGAGTCTTTCGTCTCGCCTTTCTCTCAGATCTGTGTTGTAGGTGCTATTAGCAATCACTCTTCAACGGGAATGGCCCGGAAAAGGTGTGGAATAGCGTGTTCAATACCTACCGCAGACACATGCGGTCCGGGGTTTTGCAAATGTCTCAGCATCATTATAGTTATATTTTACGGCGTACTATGACATGAAAAGAATAGGTAGTAGGTAAAAAAGTGATTAGATAGTGATTTTTAATTCGAAACTACTGCGCCGATTCAAATAGTGCGGATCTCCATTTGTAGCGATGAGTTAGTTTTGCATGAAATGGACGGGTTCAGAGATTTCCCGCTATACCACTTCGGCTTATGAGAGTTGTTTCAAATATTCAAACACTGATGATAGTCCAAGTTTATGCATCATGAAGGAGTGCGTTTTCATCGTCCGGCACACAACTGTCCTAATGACCATGGAATTTATAAGTTGGAACCTATAGTGAAATTTTGTTGCTTTTGTGATGGTTCTGTCATACTGTTCGTCCTGATACGCAGCAATACGCGAAGACTTATTGTTGGGCAGTTAAACCTTTTATATATATAGTATTGGCAAATAATATATGTATACATGTGTGCATACATATGTGTGTGGAACCTTATGCAAGAGATTTACAAGGTATGAAGCAGAAATTGAAAAAGTGTGCGTGAGAATGCATAGCTTAGAAATTTAAGACTACTTCGTGAAATTACTTGTAATTGCTTACTTGTAATTACTTACTTACTTGAAATTACTACTTACTTGTATATTTGGATGGCCTGTCTTCACTGGTTGTGCGGGTCCTAGCATAATTTCAATTTTTTCGGAGTTTTACTGGTTTAGTCATTGCGGTTCGCTGGAATCCCAAGGCCAGCCAGGCCAAAGTCTGCCCCAGTCGTCACCACCACAGGCAGTCGCAGCCCTTGTAGATCAGAAGGAGATATGCCACCATTCGACTAGTTTAATACCAGCATGGT